TCCTCCCTGTGCTCCTCCTTGTGCTCTCCACCACTGCTCCTCCCTGTGCTCCTCCCTGAGCTCTCCGCCACTGCTCCTCCCTGTGCTCCTCCCTGAGCTCTCTGCCCCTGTTCCTCCCTGTGCTCCTCCCTGTGCTCCTCCCTGAGCTCCTCCCTGTGCTCCTCCCTGAGCTCTCTGCCACTGCTCCTCCCTGTGCTCCTCCCTGAGCTCTCTGCCACTGCTCCTCCCTGTGCTCCCCCTTATGCTCTCTGCCACTGCTCCTCCCTGTGCTCCTCCCTGTGCTCCTCCCTGTGTCCCAGAGGAGCTGCCCAACCCCATTTTTTGTAATGGCGCCTCCTGTCTTGGGCACATGCAGTTTGTGTGCGTTTGCGAGCTTAGCTTTGCGCAGTGGCTTTGCGCAGTGGCTTTGCGCAGTGGCTTTGCGCAGTGGCTGTGTCGCGGCCAGTGAGGTTTATCTGAGGCACAATTATTGCTCTTTGGAAACTCTTCCCAGTGCCTTCCAAGACGGCTTGAAAGATGTATTTATGTATTTATTGCATACAAATGTATGTTTTACTTTCACAAAGAATACACTGTCCTCTATTTTTTGGTAAAAGATGAAGTCTTTTTATGAGCATTTTGTGTTATGAATTTTGCTAATGATGTGTATCCAGAAACATCGCTCTGCTTCTAGAACATGGCAAAGTCCATAATCCAGAAGGCAGGAGAAGCTGCTGGATGGTCCTGGAGAAAGAATAAAGAGCTGTCAAGGTGGTAGTTGTGCAGGACTATGTAAAATATAATTATATTAGGTGAACCCATTTAGTAGGTCATTGAAGAGTTCACAAAACAGTATCAATCTTATGTCAGGTTATATACATATTTTCTCATATGTGTGTGTGTGTGTGTGTGTGTGTGTGTAAAAGACAAAGAAAAACTAATATAAAGTGAATGGAAAATGGAAATACACTTTTTAAAGTTTCTAATACTAGGAGAAAATATGCCATATCTTATAAGTAGATTGTAAGTCAAAGAAACAGTATAAGTCATAAAACAAAAATTAAAATTAAATAATATAGAGAAAACTAAATATTAATTCAAAATTAAATTAAATATTTCAAAATAGTATTCAAAAATTAAAATTAAATTGTGAGTCCAACTAAGAGGCCAGAATGGTTTCTTGATTTTGGCACAGAGTGAACTATTATATGATTGATCTTTGAAGTCTTCTTCATGTTTATTTTAGACAATTTTTATTGTTATTCATTTAAGTTTGTACATAATTTTTTACAATGTGCAGTCTATTGTTAATCTCATGTATTCATTTCAGAATATTTTTCAGAAAAATCACTGTCTACATCTTATATCTTTCACATTTCAATATTTGTCTACAATTTTTAATTTGCTATATAATTATTACTGATTTTCAATAAAGTTAATAAAAAGTTAAAAAAAAAAAAAACCCTGCTCTGCTGTTCCCCAAACATTGCGGACATTGTCTCAGCGTGTAGGCCCAGCGTGGCTTTGCTTTAAGATTCTTCAGACATGAATGCCGGCTCCTCCCCCGGCCAGGCTGCTGCCCCAGCCTGGGCTGTAGTGTGCACAGCGGAGGCACAAGCACTAATCTCCTGCCCGCTCTTGGGGGCGGCTCCGAGGACCTAAGAGGGTCTCTAAGTGCAGTAACACCTCCCTGAGACTTCCCCGATGTTCTGAGTTGATTCTTCGGCCCAGTGAAAGTGGATACAGTTCCACCTCCGCTTGCCTGCAGAGGAAGCCCAAGTCTGTTGTGTTCCATGCGCTTTTCTCTGGGCAGCTGGGCGGCTCCCCGGGTTTCCTGGGAGAGGAACTTGGCTTTTGCTGTCAGCTGCCAGGTGTCACCAGGCTTTGTGCCACGCCCGTGTGGTAGCGCTCTGAGGAGCCTTGAGAAATGATCAACAGCAGTGTACCTCCCCAAGGGGCTTCCTTGCTGTACGGAAAGCAGCCCGAAAGCAAGCTGTACTTTTAGCCTCATTAAGGGTTATTTATAAAATTTAACTTCATAAATTTATAAACATTTACTGAGCACAACTATGTATCAGGCCCCTTCTGAGCACCATGGAAAGATGGAAAACTGACTAAGCTCTCGCCATGCTGAGCTGAGCAGTGCAGGAGGTGGGTTTGGGATCTGTCCCCATGCCAGCGAAGGTGAGATTTACTGAGCACACACAGGGCACCGCATGACAGACTTCCTGGAACAGTGGGGAACGGGAGGACCTGCCCACTGAATGCTGTTTCCTACCTAGGAAATAGCTAAGGTCACCACTGAAACTGCAGGAGGAGGTGTCTGGACGATGGCGTTGTAACCGCAGCCTCTTCCTCTGTGTTTTCTGGGCCTACAGAGCAAATGTTTAATTTTACAGATTCTCTCTTGTCAGATTTCTGAAATATTAACACTTGCCCTGACTGTGATCCTCCTATCATGAGTTTTTAGATGAAGTCGTAAACCTGAGTAAGCAAGCACAGGATGGAGGGTGGGTGTGTGGCTCGGGGACGGAGCTTGTGCCAGCATGGGCGAGGCCCCAAGTTCAGGCCCTGCACCAGGTGCCCAAGTGAGTGCACACATGCACACACACACACACACACACACACGCACGCACCTGTGAGAAATGCGATGACTGGCCTCTGAACTTACGTTCCATCCCCTCCCCCTATTCTTTGTGATGTAGGTCATTCCTAATCCTCAAAACAAGGGCAGCAAAGTGGACAGCACCCCGGATCAAGACCCCAAAGAAAGAAAGGAAAAGGTAAGTGGGGAGTCCGGCTTGCAAAGAGTGTCTGCTTCCCCTTGTGCATCTGAGCTATAACCCGAGTCTGACTTGAAGGGTGTCCACGCAGACATCCTTTGCCTCTGCGCCCCCCCCCCCCATGCACTGGCTCTCACCAGGACCGAGGCCAGAAGCCTGGTGATATGCTGGTACAACAAGGGACAAGCCAGCTGTCGCCATGCAGCCGGCCCTGTTTCCCGCTGGGCAAGGCCTCTGCCAGGCCTGGCTGCTGAGGTGGGCCAGGAGGTCCCCTCCCACTGCTGTCCCCTTTGAATGTCCCCTTTCCCAGAAAACCCCTTTTCTTTTCCAGTCAGAATTGGCCACCCTGCTGGGGTCCCTCTGCTATTCTAGTAAAATTTATTGACCTAAATATTATTTTAGCATCTAGTGTCAGGTAAGGATAAAAATCTCATCTTTCCCATAAAGATAAATAGGAGCCAACCCTTTTTAGTAGGGCCGTCTCTGTCCCTCGACTTGGGAGTGTAGCCTCGGTTCACCGGCCAGGGACGTCTGTTCCTCTGTTGATTAGTGTGTCTGTCCAAAAATGTGCTTCGGGCCCCGACGGTTGCACTGTGTAGTGATTCGCCTTCTAGGAAAACAGTTTCTTCTGAAGGTTCTTCTTCTAAAGCCTTGTCTATGTGCAGCCTTCTTTTCTGTGTAAATTTAGAAACACCTACTCAGATTCTACCCCCTAAAAAAAAAAAAATCTTGGGATTTCAGTTGGAGCTGTATTGAATCTATAGATTATTTTGAAAAGAAGTCAGCTATTTCTGATGTTTTTTCTGTTTGTTGCTAGTGTAAAGTCATAAAATTAATTTTTATCTCTGTATTTAGTATCTTATAACATCATTCTGTGTTTCTTTCGTAACAAAACTGACCTAGTGGGCTGGGAGATAGCTCGGAGGTCTAAGTGCCAGCCTGGCAAACCCAGCGACCTGGGTTCGATCCCCGGTACTGCATGCTGTGTGGGTCCTGTGCTGAGCTGGCCACCACAACTGGGTGGGGCAACACACACGTGTAACCCCAGCACTGGGGAGGCTGAGACAGGAGGATCACTAGGAGTCTGAGCTGTGTAGTGAGACTCTATACCAAATAAATAAATAAATAAATAAATGGTCAAAAAGGGAGTTTGCTGAACCAGAAAACTGCTGGAGAGACCTGGTAGGCTAGCCCCTGCCTCTCCAGCCTTCTCGCCAGAGTTTGCTGTTTCCAGCCACTCCACCCCTGTCCCCACCCTGAAGACTGTCTGGGAGACTTGGCAGCCATAGCTCCACCCCTCCAGTCTTCCAGCCAGAGTTTTCTGTTCCCTGCTGCTACTCCTCACCCTGAAGACCCCTGGGGGGTCAGGACTACCACAGTGATGTGAGGACCCTTGCAGAGCCTTGCACCATCAAGAGAGCCTTGCACATCTTCAGCCTGCACCACCGTTCATCACTGGATCCTTCTTGAGCTGCAGCTTGCCCCTCTCCTCAGTGAGATAGAAGCCACATGGAACCCCACGCAGCAGGAGCGCTGGTGAGCCTGCCCTGCCCTCCAGTACTTTAGAGAGCCTCGCTGCCCTGCACCCTTCCTGTCTACCAGCACTGCAAAAAATGACAAAAGGAAGAAACAAAAGACAATCTCAGACCTCTAGTCCACCCCAAAACAAGTCCAGGAGACACGGTCATAGAAGAACTTGAAAGTTACACACCTGAAATGTCGGAGATGATAGCAACTGAAGTAAAGAAACAACTCCATCAGGCTGTGGAGGAAATCAGATCAGAAATAATTCTCAGGTATGAAAAGAAATGACAACAATCATGAAAGAATTGTTGGATACAGCTAAAGAAGACACAAACAAAAAAAAATAGAAGGGAGTAGGAAAGTGATGAAAACATTGAATAGCACAAGGAGGAACTAGGATGCATGAGACAGATTAATCTAGCAAAACTGCTTGAATAAAGACAGAATTTCAGATGTTGGAGATAGCATTGCAGCTACTGAACATGAAAGGTGACATCCCTTAAAAATAATGAGAAACCAGGAAATAATGCAACAGCTACAAGATGATGCAAAGAGAAATTAATATGAGACTAATGGGTATCAACTAAATAGCTGGAGATAACATAAAAGACATAAAAAGAGTGTTTATAGAAATAATAGCAGAAAATTCCCCAAGCATGGGAAAAGAATCTGATATACAGATAACTGAAGCATATAGAACTCCAACTAGCCATAATCAAAATAAATTATCACCCAGACACATAATAATCAAGATCCCAGAAATTGAGCAGAAGAACAGAATATTAAAAGCTGTTAGAGAAAAAAATAGACCACCTATAATGGAAAGCCCATCAGAATCACTGCAGATTTATCAACACAGACCATCAAATCTCGAAGAGTGTGGAGTGAGATACTTGAAGTCCTAAAAAACAAAACTAAATAAAAAAAAAACCTTTCAACTCAGATTAATGTATCCTACAAAACTATCCATTAAATTTAATGGAGAGATTAGATACAAAGCACAACTGAATAAATTTATGACAACCAAACCAACCCTATAGACAGTACTGATAGATAGTTTAGAAAGAGACAAAGATGACCACAATTTCAACAATAACAGCAGAGAACCACCAAGCAGAGCAAGCAGTTAAGCAAAGGGGAAAAATAGGGATCCTATAGTAGGAAAACAACATGACAAAGATAAATCAATACATAACAGTTATAACTATCAATGTCAATGGCCTTCATTCACCAATCAAAAGAAGCAGACTGGCAGAGTGGATCAAGAAATCCAACAATATACTGCATATAAGAAACACATTAAGCTCAAAAAGAAATAAATAGACTGAATGTCAAAGGATGGAAAATAATACTCCATGTGACAGGAAACCAGAAAAAAATAAAGCAAGGGTAGCTATTCTGGTTGCCGACAAAGTGAACTTCAAACCAGATATGACAGAAAGAGACAAAGAATGTCCCTACATAAGTGTTAGGGGAAAACTGCAAGAGGAAGAGGTAACAATTATAAATGTATGTGCACCCAATTATATAAGGCAAATTTTAACAGACATAAGAAAATGAATGAGCAATAACATAATTGTATAGGGGGACTTTAACACCCCATTGACACAAAGAAATAGATCAACCATGCAAAAAATAGCAAAGAAATAGCAGATCTAAACTGAACTTGTGAAGAAATGGACTTAATAGACCTTCACAAAGTGTAAAGGTCTACTAACAGCATCAGAATACACATTTTTCTCAGCTGCACATAGGCCATTCTCCAAAATAGATCTTGTGCTAGCACTTAGAACATGCTTAAGTAAATGCAAAAGAATCGAAATTATCCTATACATATTATCTGACTATAGTGTAATGAAATTGGAAATTATGGACTAAAGAGATAGCAAAAACTCTATAAACATGTGGAAACTACATAATACCCTTCTGAATAATCAGTGGGTCATGGATGAAATTAAAAAATTAAACAGTATTTACAATCCAATGAAAATGCAAATACAACTTACTGGAACCTGTGGGATGCAATGAAAGGTGTCTTAAGAGGGAAGTTTATAGAGATAAATTCTCACATCAGGAAAACAGAACAAGCCCCTCCTCAAAATCTTATGTTACACCTCAAACTCCCTAAAAAAGAAGAGCAGTTGAGCTCAAAGCCCAAAGAAGGCAGGAAGCTATAAAGATCAGAGGAAAAATATATGCAAAGGAGGCAAAGGAAACAATACAAGGAATTAATGAGTCAGAGAGTTGGTTCTTTGAAAGACTAGATAACATTGATAAACCCCTAGCCAACCTCATTAAAAATAGGAAAGGAAAAACTCAAATTCATGCAATGGGGAATGAAAAGGGTGAAATCACTACAGACCCTTTAGAAATTGGAAAGATTATCAATACTTATCTCCAAAATCCTTACTCTCACAGAATGGAAAATATGGAAGAAATGGACAGATTCCTAGATGCATCTGAACTACCAAAACTAAGTCAAGAAGGTACGAAAATTCTGAATAACCCAATGTCAGCCAATGAAATTGAAAAAAAAAATCCTCAGTAAAATACTAGCACACAGAATGCAGCAAATCATCAGGAGGATTATATGTCACAACGAAGTGAGATTCACCCCAGGTATTCAGGGATGGTTTAATATACACAAAACCATAAATATAATACACCACATCAACGAAGCCAAAAATAAAAATCACATGGTCATCTAAATAGATGCAGAAAAAGCTTTTAACAAAGTCCAACACTTGTTCACTAAATACATAAAAACACTACAGAGAATTGGAATTGATGGTTTTTACCTCAATCTGAGAAAAGCCATCACAACAAATTGACAGTCAACATCGTACTTAATGGACAAAAATTGAAAGTCTTCATCTTAAGATCAGGAACATGACAAGGATGCCCACTGTCACCACTCCTGTTCAATATAGTTCCAGAAACATTAGCCAGAGCAATTAGACAAGAGAAAGAAATAAAAGGAATAATGATTGGAAAGGAAGAAATGAAATTATCATTGTTTGCAGATGACACGATACTGTACATAGAAGACCCCAAAATCTTCACTAAGAGACTCATAGATTTAATGACCAAATTCAATAATGTAGCAGGATACAAAGTCAACACTCAAAGATCAATAGCATTTCTATACACAACGCACCAAGAGAAATTATAGAAATCATGCCTTTCACAGTAACACCCCCCAAAATGAAATACTTAGGAATCAGTCTCACAAAGGAAGTGAAAGATCTATATAGTGAAAATTATAGTACTCTGAAAAAAGAGATCAGAGAGGATTTCAGAAAATGGAAAGATATTCCTTGCTACAGGGTAGGAAGAACCAACATTGTGAAATGGCCATATTTCCAAAATTTGTTATACAGATTCTATGCAATCCCAATTAAAATACCATTAGTATACCTCACCGATCTAGAAAAAAGAATTCCTAAAATTCATCTGGAACCAGAAGAGACCTAAAA